CTGGGTTCAATTCCAAGTACCTACATGGTGGCTAACAACCGTGCTAACTCCAGTTCCAGGGCTTGGACACCCTCTTCTGACCTCCCTGGGTATTGCACGACATGTGTGCGCTTACATACATGTAGGCAATACAATCACATAAAATAAAAATAATAAAAATATTGAAAAAAAGATTTGATTCTTTTCCCTGGTAGTCAACAGATAAAATCTCTTCTACATCATTAACTTGTGGATGAAAAAAAAAATCATCATGTAATGAACTATAAAAGCATATTTCTATTAATTTATTGAGCTTCTACTTTAATTCTATTTCAAGTATTTAAGTTTCAAAGGAAAAGTAAAATTCAGGCACTGGTAAGATGGCTCTGAGGATATGGGAGCTTGCCACCCAAGATTCACTGAGTTCAATCCCTGGGACCCACATAGTGAATGGAGAAAACCAACTCTCTCAAGTTGTCCTCTGATCTCCACACATACGCATACAAATAAATAAATATAACAAAAGTAAGTTCAAAATAAACATCTCCCCTTAATATTTACCTACAAAATAATTGTTAAACAGCTATTGTTAAGACAATACTATCCCTTTTGGTACAAAATTGAAACATGCTAAAATTGCAAATTTCAAAATGAACTCTATATTCAGTGTAATTGATGGATAAAGTATAAACAGGTTAAAAACATCTTAAGTAAAAGATAAAAGCAGAACAGATATTACTTTCAAAATATAATATTGGTAACTTAATCAGCATTCAATTCTTGGCTTATATTACTATAAGTATCACTATTATAAATTTATGAAACTGATTTTTGTAATAATTTTAGAAAGCTAAAAGATGATTAATCCAATGAGTAAAGCAATGAGGTTGAATAATCAGTATTTCTTTTCATTAAGTAAGCACTTGGTGAAAAAAAGAACAATCATAATACCTGTCCAACCATTTATGTCAGATGTAAGTAACCATGAGTCATTACTGCTCACTGCACTGATAACTGAGCTTATATACCACCTGAAAGATTATTAAGGAGATATAGAATTCATGAATGTTTTCACATAAGATTATATCTTTGACATTCAATTTTCTTTGCAAGTCATTGTGTTCTTCATTGTTAATGGTTTTGCTGTGACTCAACCGTAAGAGTATTCTTTACACTCTGAAAGCTATAAACTGCAACTTAAAGAAAAACAAACTGTGACAAGCCAGGTGTGGTGGCAAATACTTTTAATCCAGCACTTGGGAGACAAGAGGCAGGTGGATCTCTGTGAGTTTGAGGCCAGCCTGGTCTTCTTAGTAAGTTCCAGAGCAGTCAGGGCTAAAGGGAGACCCTGTCTCAAACACAACAAAAAACCCAAACACACACCCCCTTCCAACAGAACAAAACAAACAAAAGCCCTGACAAATAACTAGGTGACAAAATTAGAAATTATCTATTGATTTGAAACAGAAAGTCATAATTGAATTGCTTTTCCCAAACCATCCATGCTTCTCAATTCAGTCATTACCACTGTTTACATGCACCTGTCATTCCTAAAATTTTACTTATGCCCTGGGAGTGATTTCTATACCCATTCTAGTTATCTATCTGTAAGCCATCCTTAATGAAGATGCTTATGCTATGCCTTTTACTATGCAACTAACTTTGAAATAATTCAAGGTGAAATTCATACAACACAAAGGTTAACAATTTCAAAGTGGCATTTAATAAATTCACAATGTTGTGAAACTACCCTTCTGTAGTTAACATTTCTCTTACTCCACAATAAAACCTTTTACTCATAAGCAGCTACCTTCTCACCACTTCTGGATATTTCATATAAACAGAATCACAGAATGTGTGACGCTTTCTTCCAGCTTCCTTCACTTGGTTTAATGTTTTAAGTTCATCTGTGCTGTAACATAAAACTCGCTTTTTTTTTTTTTTTTTAAAAATGTTGAGCAGTATTCCAATACAATAATTTGTCTGTGTATCTCTGGTGGCCATTTGGCCTTTTCCTAGATCTTTTTTTTCAGTCCATAAAAATATATTTCAGGTATTTCCCTAGATTAAAATGTACAGGAGAACCTAATTTTTCAATCTTTTTTTGAGAAGTATTTAAAAAAATATTTTATTTATTATTTTAATTTTATGTGTATGCATGTATTGCCTGCATGTAGGTAAGTGCGACTGCATGCAGGTAGGTGCATCCATGACATTCAATGCCCTCAGAGGTCAGAAGAGGGTGTTGGATCCTCTGGAACTGGAGTTACAGACAGTTGTTAGCTGTCATGTGGGTGCTGAGAATCGAAACTGGGTCCTCTGTAACAGCAGTCAATGCTCTTAACCACTGAGCCATCTCTCCAGTTCTAATTATTTCAATTTAATTTCCACTTAAAAGTCTCATGCTTCAAAAGTTATGTGTAAGTTAACTTCTCCTACATAAATCTTGCCTTTATTTCTCTAATTAAGAAACTTCATTCAAATTAGAAAATATAAAAGATATACTGTTAAAATGATATTTTTATTAGATGGTAGACAAGATAAATGATATTTCAAATACTAAATTTTCTAAGGTTTTCTGAAAGAACAGAGGGCTGCAATTAATAAGTGACCAGTGCTGCAGTATAAGTAAGTAAATAGAAAATGTCATAAAAACCGATATAACCTGTCAGGTAGAAAACTGGCCCAACCTGAAGTCCTTGCAAACAATGCCATGCATCCACAGATTACTTCCTAGTGTTCAAAGACATTTACTTGCTAAGAAATACAAAGGGAAAGTGGCGAAATCTGTCGGCTTAAAATTTTCTTTATGAAGCCAGGCATGGTGGTGCACACTTTTAATCCCAGCACTCAGGAGGCAGAGCTCTGAGATAGAGGCCAGCCTGGTCTACATAGTGAGTTCCAGGCCAGTTGGGGTTAGAGGGAGACCCTGTCTCAAAACAAAACAAAATTTTCTTTATGAAAAACACTTCATTTAAATTTGACTGAGAAGTATGACTAGTATTAGCTTATTCTACAATTGAGACAATTGAGGTTATCAGGGTAAGTTATGCTTTGTGACACAAGTTAGTCAGAAGGTTTTGTTAATTAAGAATAAAAAGATATATCACTTTGTTAACAATATTTGAAAATGTTAATAACAGTAATTAGTATTCTAATATGCTTGACAAATAGCTTCTGTGGCATATGCACAGTACTTGCAATTAGTTTCATTTTATTTAAAATGGAATTTTTTTTAAAAAAAATTGTGAAATTCTTGAGTAAAAATCATTCATTAGATAACAATAACAGTTCTTACTAAATCCTAGTATATAACTATATTTGAAGTTTATGGTATTTGGTAAGTCATTAATTTTTTTTAAAATTTAAATTAAAAATAAATTTTGTAAAAGGAAATCTTTTTTTTCTAAAATAACCAAGTTAGTATGCAAAATGCAAAATTATTTGGTTTTTTATGCATATGAGTATAATTGCCTACATGTATGTAAGTGTACTCAATGTGGTGCAATGCCTGCAGAGGTTAGAAGAGGGCACTGGATTCCCCAGAACTGGTGTTACGGACAGTTGTTAGCCGCCATCATGTGAGTGCTGGGAACTGAACCCAGGTCCTCTGCAAAAGCAGCCAGAGCTCTTAACCACTGAGCCATCTGTCTAGCTCCATCAAAGGCTCTTAAAAGATGTCTGCCTCACATATGAAAACTCTTGGTGTCGTGGTGCATGACTTTAGTCCCAGCACTTGGGAGGCAGAGGAAGGAGGATCTCTGTGTTCAGGCCAGCCTATTCTACAAAATGAGTTCCAGGTCAGCCTGGGCTACAGGGAAACCCTGTCTCAAAAAGACCAAAAAAAAAAAAAAAAAAATTGGTTAAGGGCTATACCTGATGGTAAAAACTGTTGCCTAAGCATTAAAATGATTATATTTGTGGCACATTATAGATTTAAGAAAGGAGCAGGAATCTCTCTTACTATAAGTTATGTTTATATAGGAAGATTCATTTTAAGTTGGGGATGGATAATTCAAAGGATTCATCTAGTCAAGCATGATGATGGCACATGCCTGTGATCCTAGCTACTTGGGAAGCTGAGGCAGGAGGATCAAAAGTCTGAGGCCAGACTGTGCAAGTTGCCTCCCTAGGCTGTAATTTCAAAATAAAATAACAAAAAAGGGTACTTGGGATATAATTTGGCAGTAGAGTGGCAAGGCCCAGACTTCAATTTCTAGTACTGAAGGTCTGTGTTAGTAACAACTATAATTTGTTATCATTAATTTCTAGTTAATTGGTAGTTTAAAAGATATTGCTGGAGAATATTCATAATGCTAAAGACCAAATAATGAAAACAAGCAGAAGGAAGAATGGAAGGGAAGAATATAATGAAGGAAATACATTTGGTGCTGCCTGATACCAATGTTGGAAATCTTACCAAAGACTTGATTGGGGAAGAAGCCTTAAAATCTTTATATCACACGAGGTCCTAAGAAATGTATTTGAGGCACATCGGCAGGGCAGTATGAAATGACTAGTACTGCCACTGGCCATATTGTACCTGTTCTGTGGATAATTAGAGTCCTTCAGTTTCCAAAGCTGGCAATCTGGCACCTTTCACGAGCACTATATTCACTTAAAATAAAACAAAACAAAGTAAAATTGTAATTCAAAGAGTGAATTTAAAAACTGTGTTGAAGCAACTTTATGGTTCGTATAAACCAAAAAATAAGCAAGAAAAGTAAAATGCCAACGATATTTTAAAATTTTTTGAACTTCATATTATAACTTTAGTAAAGTTCAAGCAAGGCAAGTTTAGGTATTTGTATACCACACAGATAAACAGAAAATTTCTTCATTGTGCCAGTGTTGAATGTGATATTACTTCCTATCGTCGTTCAAATAAGTTTACAAAACTGTGGTTTACTATAGAGTTAACCAATATCATGTACTAAAATGTCCCAACCAGAAAGAAACAAAAAAGCTATGTTTTTAACTACTAAATGTAAGCAAACAAAATGCACACTTATGCCCCATACCTGCAGCTGGCCGTTTAATGAACTCAGGTCTTCTGCTTTCTTCTCTAAGGACTGAACCCAGACCTTTCTTTTTTGTCGGCACCTTGAAGCTGCTGCTCTATTTCGTTCTAGAAACTTTCTCCTCTTCTCATCAGGATCTTCATTAGCTGCTCTTCTTCGACGACCACTTGTATTTTGGGTTTGTGGAGTTGTGTGAGCTGGAGAAGCCTAACAACATGGGTAGAATCTTGTTACATTTGTATTTAGCAAGTAAATTAACACAGGCAGGAAATGGTGCCAAAGGAGGTGGGCTAATTTTGCCTTGATGAATACCTTAGTATTTCATAACAGCATGAAAATCATCATGGCTTAACTCCTCCCTTTAAATAACTTACGCTATGCTTTAACAAAACACTCACTAATGCAATGCATACGAAATAAATTCTTTTAAATATGTGTATTTTCATTTATATGAGAACACAAAAACTAGAAAATACAAATGATAAACTATTTTTCCCAATGTTTCCTTAAATCTATTTTACATTACTAAATCCTTTGAAAACTTCTGGCTGTAAGTTTGTAGCCATTTTTCAATGCTATTTTTGAAAAAAAAAATTATCTGCCAGTATTCTTTAAATAATAGTTTTACTAAAGTAAATATTTATTTTTATAATCAGTGCTTATTTTTCTGGTAAGGAGAACCTCATAGGAGCCTTCATTTTCAGTGTATCTGGTCCTTAAGTGGATCCATTTGGCTATCTTTGAATGGCCAGGGACACAAATATTTAGTCAATAGTCAGACTGTATAGTATACAGGACCAGAGAATATTTGGTGCCTTCTAGCCACTTACAAATCCCCAAACTGTGCCACAGAAAATGGAAATATGGGAGACAAGAAATGAACTCCTGGAAATGATGCTGTGGCTATCAGTATGTGAGCCAAAGAAAAACATGAAATTAACCTGTAATTTATTATATTTTAAAAAGGTGTGATTGAATAAAATGTGTATGTATTTTCCTTATCAACATAATAGAAGCTCAAGATTGGTTCTGCAAGCAAGTCACCAAATTATTTCTTACTCTACATACCCTCAAAATATATAATAATTATTTATTCCCTTTGTTAAAATAACTAGTGTTAAAATTTTAGTGTTAAGGCATGTCTCAAGTTTTGCATTCAATCTTCATCACAAAACAAAAAATTAAGGTGTTTAATTTTTAGTTTCTTAAAATTATTTATTTTTACTTTATGTGTATGAGTGGTTTTGCTGCATGTATGTAAGTGCTCCATGTGCGTACAATGCCTATGGAGGCCTAAAGAGGGCCTTAGTTCCCCCAGGACTGGAGCTACAGGTGGTAGCTGACACGTGGGTGCTTGGAACAGAACCAAGGTCCTCTGTAAGAGCAGCCATTGCTTGTAACGGCTGAGCCATCTCTCTAGCCCTTGCAATTACTTAAAAATATATTTATATGGCTTTTTTTAAGAATTGCAGCCTTGGGGGCTAGTGAAAGATGACTCTGGTTAAAAGCACTGGCTGCTCTTGCAGAGGACCTGGGTTCAATTCCCAGCACCCACATGACCACTATCAATTGTCCATAACTTGAGTTTCAGGGGATCCAACGCCCTCTTCTGACCTCCATGGACAATGCATGACCCAGATGCACTTACATACAAGCAGGCAATACACTCATACACATAAAATAAAAAAAGAATTGCAACTTTGTAATATTTTTTCTTCATCTTCCTATTATGTGTCTTATTGAGAACAGTAGATATTTGTGTGAATATGTTTTTGGATTTTTTTTGAGTCCAGCTCTCTCTGCAGCCACAGCTTGCTTGGAACTTGCTATGTATACCAGGCTGGCCTCAATCACAGAGATCAACCTGCCTCTGCCTCCAAAGTGCTGGGATTAAAGGCATGCACTGCCACACGTGGCTTAAGTGAATACCTTTTACCTGATGTAATCCATCAATGATCAATCACAAGTGCTAGAATAGCAGAAATTATTAGTCACATTTGTATATTTTTATGTCTAGTAAGGATTCATGGCTGCTTGGAAGCAGGTAACCTTACATACTTTTGCTCTCTACCTGCACTTTCATTAAGAGGGCATTTACAAGCACTATTCTAGAATGTACAATAGCAATCCAGTAGTGAACAACTGGATAAAGTCCTGCCCTTACTGGGCTTTCATCCACTACAACAAAATGAAAAGCCATACATTCAGGGAAACTAAAATTACTATACAAAAATAACATAAAAAACCAATATTCCTTTCTTTCCTTTTATAAACGGTTCTTTCCTTTTTTATATACACTTGACTTGTGAACATCAGCTTGCTAGCCAGCCCCTGGATTATAATATTAACGCACAGCCCCTGGATTATAATATTAACGCACATGAGTAATCACTCATTTTTTTTGCTCCGTTCCTAAGCCAAAAACACATTCCATTTCATCTTATGTGACATTAAAATATAATTAATACTTATGTGTAATCTAAAACGTGCTGTGTTTCTTAGATTAGAATTTTTTGCTTTTTATTACTAATGGCAAAAATATCCTTCAATAAAAGTTAAATATACAGTTTTGAAACATTAAAAAAATACAGTAAACATTTATGGAAGAACTATGCTGTAGACATAGAGAAATATCGATCATGTCAGCCAGTCACAAATTAGAGATTAAGACAAGGATCCCTGGTATAAACAGTTGTCACACAACATAAATGCTCCTTTGGTGATGCTTCCCAAGTTTTAACTGAGGAACTATTCATGTCAATCCATACATATGGGCATATATGCAGCTCACAGAGATGCACCTGCTTCTGCCTCCAGAGTGTTGAGATTAAAGGTATGTATGCACTACCACATCTAGTTTCTCTCTATTTTTAAAGGACTTCTGGTTACTTAGAAGGTAAGAATACTTATGCAAATACATAACAGGAATAATATTGAAAGCAGAAATAGTCATTATTAAGGGTAAAAAAATGCTTGCTTCTTTGAAACATTTGGAGCAGCAGTTAACAGCTCTAGACACTTTAATGGCTTCCAGGACCACCACAATACAAGATTATATGCACAGTAATTATGAATACAGGACATTCTAGGAAACAGCAAAATCAATGATGACTTTCAGAGGTTTTAGTTTTGCTACCTAAAAAAAGAAGTTACATGATAAATTTGAAGAATACCGCATTCCTCAACAATGTCTAAGCTGTTAGTACCTATTAACATTCACAGAATGTAGTAGCCTATATCTTTCTATATCCTAAATATTGGGTTATACAGGAGTACAGTTTAAAATCAAACCTATTATGTCACGGCAAGGAAAATATCTAATGCTAATAGATATAGTTTATTTTCATGACAGATCTTTAGCTTATGATAATTAAAAGAAGAAAACTTTCCATTCTCCTCAACAGAAGGTTTTCATATTTTTTTCCAGTTACAGAGTGAATTTTACAAAGAGAAGTCAAAACAAAGAGTTTCTCAGTCAAATAAGAGAGAATGAACTGATATGGTGGTGGCTTACACTTTGAATCCTGACATACTCAGAAGGCTGAAGCAGGAGGATAGCCAAGTTCAAGGTTAGTTTGGGCTACATAGTGAGATCCAGTCTCAACTGGACCACAGAATGAAACTATTCCCCAAAAAGGAAAGAAATGGAAAAACAAGGAAGAAATTAGGTTTTTCAAAGTTTTATTACGTTTCACTATAATAGAATCAACAGAAGCGAACATTTTCTGTAAAAACTATTATGCCTTATCAAATCAACATATACAAACACCCAGAAATATTTACAACACATCCTTAATAAAATCAACTGAGCTACTATTTTTACTTATTTATTTTTATATTAATGCTTACATACTGCTCTACTTTTTTCTTAAAGCCTTTGATATACTTTGGAATAACAAGATGACAAGAAATGTTTTTTCCCAAAGTATATAAAGAAGTCATATCAAGTGCACTGTATTTGTCTTCTTAAGGATGACAAGACTGATGAATGATGAAAGCAATATACATACCGGAGTTTCTGTAGTGGAGGTGGCTGGCTGTTGTAATGACTGTGGACGAGATTCTTCTGACTGAGTCCTAACCAATCCACTGCCATGACCTTTGACAGTATCACCATTGGTAACTGGAGGATGTTGCTGGGTCAAAGCAGCTTTTAATCTCTGAAATGGAAACAGCATTTAAAATAGTATTTCCTGCGTTACTCAAATCTAATTCTCAACACATGCTTAGGCTAACCGAAAAAGACAGTGTTTGTTAAGGAATAACACATTTGGCTTTACATTAATTTTCATTTATTGTACTTAACTGGATTATTACAAATATTAACAAACAATAGAACTTTGGAAAGTTTTTCTGAAATTGTCTAGCACAACTATAGGATTTTATACTTTGCTGTTCTTAATTCTGAGCGGACTTAAAAAATAACAATATTTAAAAAAACCAATACTGTCAGCTGAATGTTATTTGCTTTGTTCAACTAAAAACTGTAACATAGCTAATTATTAATGTGTATTCTCACCTATTCTCTTCCTGTATCCCATTATCAGACTTTGCCCAGATTCTAAATTTTAAGTCTCTTCTTTTCCAGGCTTGAGTCTGAGAACTCTGCTTTCAGGTTTTGTGTAGTCTTTACTTGGACAATTACCCAGGGTTACTTTAAAAAAAATTTTTTTTTACTTAATAGTGAATGTGTGTGTGTATATACATATGTATGTATGCAGGTATGCATATGTGATGTACTCATGTGGAGCAGACAGGGAACAACACTTGGGATTGTGTTCTCTCCTTCCACTATGGGTTTCGGGGACTGAATTCTGGTGTCAGGCTTGTAGGGCAGGCACTTTTATTTGCTGGGCCATCTGATGTAACAATTTTTAGGCCACTGTGGTATCAGTCAGGCTGAATTTGCTTTTGGAATGTAAAGCTGAGTTTATTTAGGAAGACCTATTTCTCCTACTTTATTTTCCCAGTTAACTGAATCAAGACATGATGAACTTTGATAGTATGACAGATCAGTGGTAGAATGAGGCCCTAAAAACATCTTTTTACAAAGATACATTTGAATGAAACGTATTCTATGTTTATTCTACAAGAAAAAAAACTGTTATATTCAATTATCTCCCAGTCAGGTAATAAGCTCTTTTTTCCAAATTATTATTTTTTAAATTTTAAATTTTATTTATTATTTTATGTGTATGCGTGTATTGCCTGCATGTAGGTAAGTGCACCCATGTCATGCAGTGCCCGTGGAGGTCAGAAGAGACTGTCGGATCCCCTGGGACTGGAGTTACGGACAGTTGTTAGCGGCCATGTGAGCGCTGGAAATCAAACTGAGATCCTCTGCAAGAGCAGACAGTACTCTTAACTGCTGAGCAAAGAGGCTGTCAGATCCCCTGGAACTGGAGTTACAGACAGTTGTTAGCTGCCATGTGGGTGCTGGGTTTCGAACCCAGGTCTTCTGCAAGAACAGCCAGTGTTCTTAACCACTGAGTCATCTCTCCAGCCACATAAGCTCTTTTAAGAACAGAGGTTATCTTATGTTTTCTTATAAATAGCTGGGTCAGAGATACTTTCATCACTCACTCATTCATTTGTTCACTTCAGTGCTAGAAAATGTACCCAGACCAGAGCCTTGTGCACACTATGCAATCACTCTACCTTTGAACTGCACCTGTAGTCCCTATATTTTCTTAAGAGACTTAGGGGTCAGGGCTGAAGTGATGGCTCAGAGGTTAAGAGCACTTAACACTCTTCCAGAGGACCCAGGTTCAGTTCCCAACATCCATATGGCAACTTACACCTGCCCTTAACTCCAGTTGCAGGAGATCTGATGTCCATTTCTGACCTCCACAGGCACCAGGCATACATGTGGTACTCTTAACATACATGCAGACCAACCACTCATAAACATTAAATAAAAATAAATTCCAAAAGTTCTTGTAGTTAAAAAAAAAAAAAAAACAAGTATATCTGGAGGAAAGGAAATAACTATGTGTGTAGAGCTGTGTCTGTACGTGTAAGAACTGTGTTGTAGTCAATCTAGTGCTAAAGAACTGCTTGGGTGTTAAATGTTAAAAAGATTCTTGTGAACCATTCCTTCCTTCTTTCTCTGAATATACAACATAGGTAAGTGTGAGAGAAGAGCTTTTGAAAAGGTCCCTAAGTAATTCTATTACAACTTCTTGTATTTATTCCAACTAACACAATTTTAAAATTCTACAACTACCCAAAATTTATGAGTTTCTTAATCTCCTATTGTATGTGATCCATATCCCTTAAAAATTGATGCACAGGGGCTGGAGAGATGGCTCAGCAGTTTAGAGCACTAGCTGCTCTTGCAGAGAACCTGGGTTCAATTCCCAGCACTGATAAGGCAGCCAACAACCATCTGTAACTCCAGTTTCAGGGGCTCCAATGCCCTCTTCTGACCTCCACAGGCACTGTATGACATAGGTGCACTTATATACATGCAGGCAATACACTCATACACATAAAATTTTAAAGAATATTAAAAACAAAAACAAAATTGACGTACGAAAAGGTCACCAGAATTCACCTGAGGTAAAGATTACATCTGGGTATTAGTGAATATTTCCTCTCTGTGTTAAAATCCTTGCAGATTAAAGATATGTACTGTAAGTACTGTAAATTTTCTCACTTTATTATATGTATGGTTCTGTGAGTTTCAAGAAGCACATACATACTTGGGCATGGTACCTCATGCCTTTAATCCCAGCACAAGGGAGGCAGAAACAGGCAGATCTCTATAAGATCAAGGCCAGCCTCATCTAAATAGAATTCTAGGCTAGCTGCTGTGGCTATAAGGAGACCGTCTCAAAAACAACAACAACAAAAAAAAAATGGAAAAAAAGCAGCACATATATTCATACAACGTTCTGAAGATGCCCTCATGCCCTTGTCATATCATATTCTCCTCCCATCCCTGGCTCTTGGAAACCATTAATCTGCTTTCTGATCCTAAGAATTTTCCCTTGTCTACAATATCACAGAAAATAGATGCATCCAGTTTATAACCTCCTAAATTTGTTTATTTCCCTTAGTACAATGCACTTGACATTCATCTGGGCTGTCTAATTATCAGTAGTTTTACAATGGATACTATTCTTACTTTGTAAATTAGATAACCATCATGTGGCTCAAGGTTACAGTCATTAGCTAGTTCAAATACTGGATTTGAACAGATTTCTCTAATTTCAAAGTCCATAATTGTTGCCAGGATACTGTGCTGTAGTGTTCCACACATTATCCTTGGTATAAATCACAAGGAAAGAATAGGAAATATAATCTGAGACTACATGGCTTAATAATTGAATTAAAACCACCAAGGATTAAGAACGCCAAGTATGATACTGCCATCTCCTAAACCGTGTCACCCAGATGAAGCATGTTTCTCCTTCTGCCAGATATTATGAATTACAAAAAGCACCATGTTTGCAAGGTTCTAGCACCTTCAATGTATTAGTCTTATACAACCAAGAAGACACTACATTTATAACTTAACTCTCCCAAACTACAACTTTGAACAAATCATATTGTTGAGTCCTAGTTTTGTTCATCATGAATAATGATAATTTACTTGTAGGAATTGAAGTAAAAAAACTATATGTAACTATTGAGCCTATAAAAGGATTTCTCAAATAGTAAGAAACTGAGAAATTTTAAAATTTATTTTGTGTGTGAGTGTACATGTCATGGGGTATGTGTGCAGGTCAGAGAGAAGATAACTTGCAGGAGCTGGTCCTCTCCTTCAACCTTGTGGGTCCCCGGGATTGAACTCAATGGTCAGTGTTGAGGTAAATGCCTTTACCCACTGAGCCATCTCACCGGCCCAGTTTCCTTATTTCTTCAAAAATAGCTATAGAAGCCCATAGGTTCTTAACATGGGGCAAAGAATCAGGAGCGTTTATATAAATTTATATTTTCATAATATACTTAAGGGTCATTTAAGGCATTGGTTTGTTCCAATATTATACATGTAAAATATGATTACATATTCCATCTTTCATTTATTTTTACATGTATGAGTACTTTTGTCTGTATGCATATAAGTACACCTGTGTACTTATGCAGAAGAGGGGGTTGTCAGAGCCCCCAGAACTGGAGTTACCAATGGTTGTTAGCCACCTTGTGGGAACCAAATCTGGGTCCTCTTCAAGAATGGCTAGTGCTCTTAACCACTAAGTCATCTCTCCAGACCATTTTCTTCTTTCTTCTTTAAGCAACCAGAAATGACAACATTAGTAGCTAGGACACAAAAATAAGACTAGTAACAGATGGGAAAATGTTGAATGAGTGGATTACAACTGAAATTAATAAATGATCAAATCAGTGACTGATTAGAATATTTAGGAAAAATGTTCAAAACTGAAAGTAGAAAGATAAAAGTTGGAAAAATGTGTAGGTCACATAAGTAGAACAAAGGAACACAGTCTGGGGAGGTGGTCAATCTACATATTATACCTTTTATGAACAGAATGTTAGACATCAAAATACAATGAATAATACCTCATCTATGGTACTACGTTGAAGCTGTCATTTCAGGATATAGCATGCATAATGCATTAAAAGGCTAAACTGTAAGTCTGGGACATTTTGTGTTGGTAAAACATTTTTAAGTCCTTAGGCAGAAAACATCGTAGAATTGAAGAGCAGTTAAAGTTTTAGAGTGAAGAGCTTAACTCAGAGTTAATGAAATACAGTAACTACACATAAGGGAGTACATAAACATCACTCTCTTGAATAATCTTTAGTAGGGCAAGTTACTACCTCACAGAACACTTAAAGCAGCACCAGTGTTCATTCATTACCCTCCCTTGACTGCCCTAGGGTATACAGTGCTCATCCAGTGAGCAAGCACTAATGTTTGCTCCATGCTGTTACACTGATTACAATGGGTCTGAATTACAAAGTGTGTCATTGGGTATAAACTACAAGACAGAAATTTTAAGTGCTGATTAATTTCTTAAACTACAACAGTACAAGCAGCTAAAAAATTAGATTGAGCAAAGTGAAGTAGTCACTAAATCTTCATAACCCTCCAATTAATATAAAAAAGCTAAAATCTACCCATATATATTTAGTAGATATATTTTAAAGGCCAAAAAACTTTATTTAAAAGAATTTGTGCAAATATGAATAT